ATATGAGAATGCTAACAAGCTGCAAAATGTCAAAAGTGAATATCATAAGTTGATTATGCTCAGTAAGAATAATTATCATGAATTTATCACAAAATTCTTATATATGATGAGTGAGATCAAAATTGTCAAGAGAGACTATAAGATAGATTTCAATGACAAGCTGTTCTTTGATTTTCAGAGAATGATAGCAGTAGTCAATATGATCATCAATAGCCAGGAGTGTCTGCCGTGTCCTCGGTGTTCACTGATCACCCTCCCACGTCTCCCTCGGTGTTGTCTGCAACCAGTCGCTTCTTCGCGAGCTTATCCGCCAATTCATTGCCTTCGATTCCTTGGTGCGCCGGTTTGACGCTAGGATTAGGTTTAGGCCCATGAAAATGCCAAGAAGCTCGGCTGCGTAGACGGTGGTAGTCGATTCCTTGCCGAGATAAGCGAGTTCTTGGGTGCGGATCGACGGCGCTAATGCAGCAGCCACCATTTTCCCGTGTATGCCGCTACTGTCAGTGTAGACTGCCAGCGGTGGGTCATCTTCGCTGATAATGTGTGTGTGCAGTCGTTCCGCCGCTTCTCGACCTTCCGTGATAGTGACCGTGGGCGCTCTCCACCACGGCTTTACCGGGAGTAATGGGATCCGTGACTCCAGGTGATTGACCGTTCCTCCTCCCAGTTTCATTTCGAGGCTGTTGTAGAGGCGCGTTAAAGGGCTGATGGAGGATTCTCCGCGTATCGGTGGGGTCCATGCCGAGGTGCTGTTGTCGTCTTCGTTCTGGAACCGGCTGCCAGTGAGAATGTTCAGTGCTGCATCGGGTGCCCGCTTCTCCAGCTGCAGACGCAGGGGGGTTATGAAAAGCTCGACATTCAAGGCCGCGCCCGACACTGCTCGGTATGCGCCTCCTACAATCCTTGCTCCTTCTTGTCGAATCCTGTCAAGGGTCGTCCGCACCTTTTCTGTGAGCCCTCTTTCGCCGCGTGGCGTGTGCCACATGGAGCAAGCATATGTAACCTGTGGGACCACTATGGCCAGGTACGCCTGCCGTAGCGTGGCCAGCGCTGATCCCCACGTTGAGCCTGCCAGGGACCTCAAGGCGTTTAGCGTTGGTGACGTCGTGCTTTCGATATGCTGTATCTGAGGACCCGATCGTAGCTGCTGGTCCATCATGACACCCAGGTAGCGGACTTCTTTCATTGAAGCAATCGTTAGGTCTGATATGGTCAAGGCCCGTTGTACATCGTGTTTCCTTGGATTTCGCGTGAGGTGGATGAATTGGTATTTCTTGAGGTCGAATTTTTAACCGCGGGTGGCCGACCACGCTTCCGCCCGTTCATGCATTCTTGCTAACTTCCTACAGTTCTCTTCGGTGGTGCAGCTGCTGGTGAAGAAGTAGATGTCGTCGATCCAGCCTCCGGCCGCTGCCCCGGTCACCCGGGGGGGGGCGCGTCTTCCGGTATGTCGGCGTTGTAGAAGAGGTAGAGCACTGGAGAGATCGGAGAACCCTATGGGATCCCGGTCTCCACGTGGAGAGGTTCTGTTGTGTACTCCCGTAGCTGTATACTCAGATTTCTAGTTCTTAGACTTCGACTTTGCTCTTTTCCAGCGACCACTTTTGCGTCTTCTTTGCCTTTCAATTCTATCTTCCTTTTACCACCGACTGCTGAGAGTGCTCCCTTTCGCTCAACGAGAATTCTCATTCCCTCGAAACGACCATGGCAAATTATCTCTCCCTGCCTATCCTCGATGAACTTGTGCGATTCGCCGAGGAGGACGCATTGTATGAAGATTCGATTAAGGCGATGGCGTCAGGCATTCTCAACTATTATTTTCCAGCGACAAATGGTTTTGCAGTCGCTCCAGAGCAAAACCGACAGGGGAATATCGCGGATTTTATCATCCTCCGGATCCAACGACGGTTCCCCGGTGACCGCGGTGTCGTCGATCACACAGTAGCTGAAGCCAAAAGAGATACCGACTCCGTCACAGCTGCATTGGAGCAGCTTGAGAATGCCCTCGAACAATCCAATCCTGAATTTGGCAGGTGCTGGGCAATGCCTATTCATGGGTGCAACTTTCAATTTTTCGAATATCACATTCACCTGCATGCGGGTGAACGGCTTATCCCATGGGGTCCTCCGAATCAACCGTCGCAGAATTTGTTCCATTGTCGAAATGATAGCGTAACTATCGATTGGATGCTGCGTCATATGGGACAAAACAACACTCCACCAGCACGCTAATGGCTGCTCACACTGCCATGGAGATATCACGACGATGGCTATAAGAGGCTTGTTGGAATGCAACATTGGTGAAGGGGTATTGGAGGCAGATGACTTCGTATTTACTTGTTTGCTAGTAACTGATTATGCATCTTCAAGAATATCTCATCTCAGTGGAATATCATGAATCATCCAACCCGTATGCTACACCGGCAAATGCGCCATTAAAACGAATTGTAAAATTAATCAAACGAAGTGGAATGGGGACAAGGTTTCCAAGCAACCGCAGTTCTGGGCAAAGATGAGAAGGCTTCCAGAATCGAATGCGGAGTACCCTTGGGAGAACCAGCAACTGAAACTTCAGTCTTCACCAGAAAACCGCCGGGTTATGTGATTGATGCCTCCAGGAATGAGTTCTGTGCAAAACTTGCCGTCTTTGCAATCAAAACAAATAACCTGAGAATCTGCCTCCGGTTTAGATCTCACACCGGCACATTCAGTGTGTCTACAGGCGTAACAGGACGGGCAATAGACCCAGTTCTCGCGAAGTCTATTCTTCTTCCCACAGCAAGGCAAGGAGTGCTTAAAACTTCGGAGCGTAAAATGTTGAATTTGCGGAATTGTTGAGAAATACTGCTCTTGAAAATTAAAGGAAGATTGTGACAGTGTCAATGCGCCCTTTGGACTGCAAGATCTGAGGATCAGATCCAAAGTTTCTGGTGGCAAACTAACTCTGAGGTGCTCCCTGTGGGCAAGTGATGGTCTCCAGCACGACGAAGTCAGAACGTAGCTCAATAATTGAAACCCTGGGGACAATGCCAAGCCGACGTGTTGACAAAGAGGGGATGAATCTGAGAGCACAAAACAGACTGGGATGAGACCTCAACAAATGCAACATGTCGAAGTGATAAGACAATTAAATGAGCGGCATCCCTGTGGGAAACCTCAAGGAAGAATTGAGCCTTGGAGATAGTTGCCGAGATCGAGCTTTTTGTATTGATATTTCCATGAAGCACGACAAGGTATCCGTGGAACCAGAAAATATCTGTTTGGGGCGCGTCCCAGCAAGGAAAATTTACCCTATTTTCTGGATAATCAATTTGAGAGTCGGATGATACTTCAAGATCCCATGCTGCAATACACAGAAGGCCAATGGCAATTGTGTTAAATGCCATAGAGGGATATCACCAAGTCATTGGATCATCAATGAAAAATCGCTATATAAAACAGAAGTCGCGGGAAATCCTGAATTGTAGCTCATTCAGTGTTGTGGGCGGCCCAGGATGAATAAAAAGTTGATTTGATTCGGTACGACTTGTGGCGTCGCAGGCGCTCCTCCGTCCTCGGGCGCTTATACCTCGCCCGGAACCCGAGTTAATGGATCCAGCGTCAAGCCATGAGATCCATCTAGACAAGATAGCGGTATCTGGCCCGGAAAAGACTGAAGCAAACCATCAAAGCTCTCCCATCGTGTGAAAGTTAAGGTTCCGGCGTCGATATCGATCGTGTACACGTAGTCCAAATTCGACTGTAGCGGACTGGGAAAAGAAACTGACTCCCATTCCTCCAAGTTATCGAGTGAAGCTATGATAGGCTTTATTCGCCGCACAGTTTCTGGCTCGTTTGGGGATCGGATACAGCTCCTTGGTTCGTGCAAGCGATACCATTTCCCTTTTGAACGGTCTGTTAGTAAATAGCTGTAAAGGCTGAGAAGATGGCTTGCATACCGGCAGAACGTAAGTTCCATAGGCCTCTTGTCCCTATCTCTCTTATCAGTAAGAAGGAGAGCAAGATCGCTGTCGGCTTGGCGGTCCTTGGGTGTCGCAGAAACGTGACGGAGGAGCCTCGGAGTATTAACAGATTGTCCTGTAAACAAGGACACCTAAACCAGAGGGCAGCTAAACAAGGGGATATACAGAATAACAATCAAACTGGGAGAATGATTGAGGAGCATGTCGAATGAAGAAGGGTGGGAACCAGTAAGTTGTGTAAATGTATTGGGAGGTGGTCAGAGGGAAGCTAAGAAGAACTTCAGAGCAATGTGGAGACTACGTGATGGGGCTTGCTGAGTTTAGTGAGAGTTAATCGTTGCCAGGTGCACTCACTACCTCTCATTACCTGCCTCACTGTAAAGAAATTATCACTCTAACAGAATTATTTTAAGTATAAATACTGTAACAATCTTCACAAATAATAATCACATTATATCTATCTATAATATAAAGATTTTCTATATGCTCATTAGAAACTGTAGAATTTACTGTAATTGAGATATATTAGAATTATTATATTTTAATTAATTTAGAACAGTTTTAGTAAATTTAATCTCAACTATTTTTAAAAATCTTATTGTGCGTCAGCGTGATAGAATACAGTTCGCGCGGCTGACCTCAATCAGGGTTGAAAGACAACCTTGACTTCAGGCTAAGTGATTGGCTTACTGATGCTTAGACGTTGCGGCGACGGGCGAACAATGGGCGAGGGATTTCACCTAAATTACCACTACATAAGAGATTGATATAAAAGGAAAATAAAAGGTTAAGCGTCAGAAGCTCCTTTTGTTATAACTCCAATAGTACGTGTTGTTCCTAGGACATATCTCCTCAAAAATATGGGCATTATATAAATATTTTCCTGAGGCACTTTCTTTCCATGCTTAACGTGCATCAATTTATGTATCTCCTGGGGCTGTTTTCGTTTCTACGGCATTTTTTTTTTTTTTTTTTGAGGTGGATCGACCACGGGACGGCTTAGTTACCGTAGCACTTCAGGGGTTAAAATTTCCCAACAGAACCTTTTCTGAATCTCGAGGGGGACCACGTATATCTCAGATATCATGATTCCCCTGAAAATTTTAAGATTTTTGAAGCATTTTTGGTTCTTAGGATGCGGTCTAATCTCAAGGAAGACCACATTTTAGTATCAATGCCATGATTCTTGAAATATTTTGTAGTCCTGAGGCATTTTAGTGTCTGAGATGCTCTTCAAGCTTGAAGGAAACCACACTTTTCATGGAAAATGCCAAGTTTCTTAAGACATTTTATAACCTCAGGGCATTTTTAATCCCCAGAATACTTTTTAAACTTAAGAGAGATCTTGTCACGAGCATCGAGTGCCGAGCATCATATCGATCGTACGCCTCGGATCGATCGTGCCACGGCCGTATGCCTCACATATGATCAAACTCGCGTACGCCCGCGGACGTATATATATTTCATTCTTTTCTCACTGTTTTTCTTCTTCTTTTAGAGATAGTCATCATATAGATTAGCTAGTTATTTCGAATACTACTATCTTATGCCTGCTACGTTTTGACTCTCATCATAGTTCTGAGCCTGGCATAACCCTACGCAAAACACGCTTCGATGATTTTCCTTTCCTCCTTTCATTCAGTTTAACGCGAACTGACTGACTGAAAGGACTGATATTTGAATCTCTACATCATTTTTGTGAATTCTATCTCTTCAATCTGTGATATCTTGAACTGTATTATCAAGATTTCACTGACTCAATCTGAAGATTTGAGATCATCATTATGACAGTCAATCGAAAAATCAGAGAGGTCATTAGGACTCTCAAAATATTTAAAGATTGAAATGTATGATACTGATGAATATCAATGAGATGACTTACTACATTAATGTTGATAGTATTGAAGATGCGAAATTTTCAACAATCTCAAAAGAACTGTCAGAGTACATATATGAAACTTAGACAATCTTAAAAGATACCACTGTCTACAAATCAGAAATGAAGTGTTAATAATAAACATAAAAATATATGACAAAGAGAATTGATAATCATTGAGAAGATAAATGATTTTATCTATAAAACAGTAAATACAAAGCTGCTAGAGAATGACGCTGAAGATAAATAAATAAATATCTATAAAATTATCAACCTTCTTTATAATTGATTAGTATCATCAATAAAAAATCATTACTATATTATATAAAAGTGCTATAAAATACTTATAAATTATCTTTAATCTTATATTAAAAAAAAAATTTAGAGAATCACGTTTTAATAAATGAACAAAGTTTTAAAAAACATTAAAAAAGAAAAATAGTCAATAGGTAAGATATGAAATAAAATTTAAATAAAAATATTCATTAATAAAGTGTAAAAATATACTTTTTTTCTATAATAAAACTAAAATTTAAATAATGATACTTTAAATTTTATATAAAAAGATTTAAATATTCTATAAAATCAGATAAATATAATATTTATAATTTAGTTAAAAGTTCAGATTATCATGGCTCAACTAGAGTCAGGATGATAACAAGACAATAGCTTCAATTCATCTATTTAACTAGGCAGCTGCGACGAGAATACTAAACTGAGGAGGATTAGAATGAAGAATGAACGAGCAGCCGAACATGAGCAACCGAATATGGTTGAGGTCGGAACGGGTCAACCTTTAGAGCGTAGCAGGGTGGATCAACCTTTAGAGCGTAACGGGGCGGATCAACCTTAATCCATATACAAGCAGCTGCGCCGTAACACAGATTATATTTTAATAAACTGCTCTTTAAATAATAATGTTTAAAAGAAATTTAAAGATTTATATTTTATTATTCATTTGAATATATCATTTATTTTAATATTAAATTAAAAAAAATTACACTTAAAAAATAAATTTTAATCATAAATAAGATTTTTATTTAAAAAATATAACTAATAAATATTAAAGTTAAATATTACTTTATTTTTTATATTATTATTATTATTTATATCTTTTCTATTATTTTATTTTAAAATTTTTATTATTTCTATTATTATTATTAATTTTTATTAAATTAAGAATATATAAACTTGTTTTTTATTATATATTTATTTAAATATTATTTCATTCTAAGATAAAATTTTATAATTATATATATTTTTATATATTTATAAATTAGATTTATAAAATAGTTAAATTTTAATTTAATTAGATATATCAATCTTTGACTACATATATTTTAAAAAATAAATAAGAAGAAGAAAAACATAAAAAAGAATTTCTATTGAATAAATAATTATAAAGTAGTTAAATTCTCATTATTTGATAATATGATATCACAAACTTTCTTCTGCTCAATTTAAGCTTTATAAGCAGTGAGTACCTGCATAGCTCTAATTAGAGGAGAAAAGCAGAAATGTGATTGAGTCCATTTAATCTAGATCTGAATGATCTTAAATCATCAGAAACATTAAATAAAAGATATCAGTGAAAATAACCTGCCAATTTTAAGCTCTTTTCATTGAATATGAGAGAAAGGGCAAGAAAGATAAGACCATCTGTAGTGCATAAACTAACACTTGTTATTGTCGAAGAGAAAGAGCAAGTAAAAACGGGCTCAGAAAAGCCAAACGAAAGTTTTTGTCTACCGCTTAAGAGAGAAATGAGCAATATTTTTTAGAGGTTGTGGTCATTATGCGCCAATTAAGACCCAGTGAGATCCAGCTCTTGTCATGAGAGTGCAGTATTATCCTTACCGACTTCTGGACAACACGAATACACACATAGAGATGAAATACTATAATAATTAGCTACAAGCTCCACCAAGTTTGGATGGCAAAAAATTGGGAGGAGAATGTCAATCCACCCACTGTTTCTGCTGTTTGATTTGGGCTTACTCTCTACATCACTCCCGTCAATTAGAGCGCACAACCGGCATCAACAACGATAGGGAAGTTGGAAGTTCCATCAACTGATCAATCAGTTTTCAGAGACTATTCATGAAAGAAAGCCCATGATATATTGTGGTGCTTTTGAGCTTTTTTGTTGGTGGAAGATGAAACCATGAACTCCTGGGACACCACACTGCGAATAATGCCAAGCCAGGGGGTGGCGAACGTGGCTTTTGTCGTAGTGGAGACGGCTCTGGAGACGGCCCGGAACAACATGCAGGATGAGTGGCCAGCAGCATTTGGTGCCTGCGCAAGCGGAGAGGATCCTTCGGGAGAAGTGCTTTTGGCAATGACCACAAGGGATCTTAAATCAACCTGGGACCACTCAGTCTCCAATTCACTGATGGTGACGCTGGGGACCTGCTTCCTGACGTTTAATTGTTTCCGCAGTAAGGACCAGTGGGGCCCCTGCTAAGGGAACATGCAGCCAGTGGCGTTTACCGGCAAGCTGTTGTGGCACTCGCTAATGGAGTCTAGTGAACTACTGGTCGCGCTGACTGGCTGAAGATCCAGGGGCAGATCCACCGAGTGATTAGAGCGGCTCTCAAACTACTCACCTCGACAGCCAACTCAAACAGACCTGAAAAAGTGTTTTGCATGCCAGAATTGAGCCAAGGCGTGGGCCGTCGCTGAACGTGGGAGAGAGCACAGCAATGTTGCATGGGCTGCCAGAGATCCACTGCAACCGACTCATTGCTGCTTTAGCCACCATTTCTTATCCTGAATGGATGACAAGCATGTCAGGATGGATTATAGCTGGAGCCCGGTGTGCTCGTCTAGGCGGTTTCCCCCTTTTTCCTGGCTGCTAGCCCCAAGAGGATCTTCCAGCTTAATCTCCCACGTCCTACAAAAGTTGCCAGTCACCCACGTTGTCCTCCTTCTCTACTTTACTTTTCTCTTTCTCTTTTCTTGACCAACTGCCAGCTTATTATCTTCATACATCTTTTCTTGCAGCATCTCGCTCTTCGACTTCGGTCGCCCACACTCTTTTAATCTTCGCACTAGCAAACTGCATTCTTTCACATACCCACGATAATTTTTTATTTTTATTTTTATTGTTTAAACCGATTTTTTTTCTCCCTCAAAATATTAAATAGTTCCACATAACTTAACCGTCATCATGCGTTTCACCACTGCTTCAGTCGCCCTTTTTGCTGGTGCTGCTATGGCCATGCCCAGCTATCCAGTTGCTGAGCCCACCACCATCTACTCCACTAAGGCTGTGACGGTCACCAGCTGCCCTCCAAATGTCTACAGCTGCCCAGGCAATGGTCCCAATACAACTGATGCCACGTCATATCCTGCCTCTGAGCCCAGTGCCCATCCAACTAGTAGTCAAGACTATCCCGCTAGCAAGCCTTCTGCTCACCCCACTGGCCATGATGATTACCCAACTAAGCACCAGCCTACCGTTGACTGCCCCTCTGAGTCCACCTCCGATCCAGTTGAGAAGGTTCCTTATCCTACGGGCAAGCCGAAGCCAACTGCTCATCCAACCGGTACTGATGTGTACCCTACCGCTCATTCCACTACCACTGTTGTTGTCACCTACACCACCTGCACCTCTGTCAATTGCATCCCAACCGTGACCTCGTCCACTACCATTATCTACCCAACTGTCCACCCAACTGTCCACCCAACTGTCCACCCAACTACCTACCCAACTACCTACCCAACTGGTATTGCATCTTCAGCTGGCGGCTACCCAGTGTAAGTAATCAAAGTCCCTCAAAGTCCCTCCAATGCGTTACTGTCGTCTAATGTATTTTATAGTAGCCCAACCCCCATTCCTTTTGAGGGTGTTGCCGCCTCAATCGGCACCAGCTTCGCTGTAGCTAGTCTCGCTGTCATCGCTGCTATCTTCCTTGCATAGATTCTCTTTCGGTGATGATACCCACATTCTGCTCTAGGCTCTCCTGGTTTATCTCGAGCAAACGGGCTTGGCCAGCGGAGAGGAACTTTGAACTTTGCTCTGCGGTTTTTTTTTTTTTTTTTTTGAAATTTCTTCCAGTATCTCGGGTATACAAATGGCAGAAAGTTCATCTTTTTCAAAATGTTTTTTTCTTAGTTGCAAAAGCGCAAATTTTCCTTAGCTATATATTCTATTTCGCCTGGTGCTTCCTATTTAATCACGAACGCCACGGACGCACAGCTTTTTTGGGGGGCAAGTATCCAGTCTCTGGCAGCGACAAGACTTTTTGTTGTTCCCCCCTGGTGAATATATATGTACAATATATAAAAGGAAGGGAAACACGAATTCTTGGGGAGCATATAATTGCTAGTTACATTTCTTTGGTGTTTTTCGTTCTATCCTTGATTGTTTGCCTCCTGCGTTCGTTTCCCGATTGATTTGGGATTTCTTACTCGATCGAGTGTCCTGGGGAACCCACTTGAATGCCATCGCACTGATTTCCTTATTATTGTTTCTTCTACCATGTCAATTCTCCGAGGAAGACCCGTGTTCACCTCTTGTAACCAGCATTTTGAGACTCTTTTATGCCTACCTAGGAAAGTATGTCCTTGGACTAGGAAGAAAAACAAACAACCTGTACTTTTCTCGCCATATCTTATTCCCAGTTTCCCTGGCTTATCGTTCTATTCATGTTGATGTATCACCACTATCCTTGCTCATCATTCTCCTTGACCATGTCTCTATACCACTTTTGTTAGTGTTTAATAACTCTACAGAATCTTCCAACATTTTCCTTTTCACTGTCTACAAATAGCTCTTCCCCAGAATTTGTGAAATTTCTCCTCCAGAACCCGAACGCAACGTCAGATTTCCCGGTCTCATTATATACAATCTCCATTCATGGGTTCTTCATCTCAGAGCCAAGAATGAAAAATCCTATTGCGATGCATCAACATCCCTCTCTCGCGCGCCCTACACCTTATTTCCTATCCTGCTCAGATTCCTTTCCGAACAGTTAAATCGTGTTTCCACCACCCAAATACACCGATGCTACCCAAGACAGGTACCTCATTTCCCCCGCAGATAACCTTCCTGGCACATTCGGCTTCCGTGGCCAGTAATAATAATAACCATGATTAATCAATAAAGTCACGGCCAGGAATTCCACGGTAATCTCCGTGGAAATTAAATCGTAATTATCATCCATTCCTATCATTTCTTGGCTGCCGAATCAAAGATCCGGAAAAGACAGTTACCCGATGTATATATGTGGTGTGACCCTCGGCCCTAAACAAAATCCATGTTTCAACATTCTTGTTTCAATTCAATGACATTAATGCTTGTTTCCTTATACAGCACTACAGCCGAAAATCGCTGGAGCCATGTCACACATCCCGCTGTCATATAAACCACTAACTAGTACGGCGCATGTCGGACGTTAGATGACCTTTTGCGAATTTCCGTCATTCACCTCAACGGGTGTCACATGCTCGCCTTAAGCCAATGTTTTCCTTGTCCAGCAGAGTTTGATATTTCTTAGCATTAGTTACTCAGGATGGAGAGAAGTAAGCTGAACACATCAAGAAAAGGTGAGCCATAGGTGAAACTCAGTTGAAAAAATCAGTGTTAACTTTATGTTTTCCTATTAGAGGATTTCTTATTTGTACTACATGTGAAGTTAAATGCTTGAGCAACATATCTTCTGTGCATTCAATCCATGTATAAATATATGTGTCTGCCTTTTTCTATTTCTTTCTTTTCTTCTTTCTTCTATTTCCTTTAATTATGTTATGACTTCTCAAGCTGTGGATTTCAATATACGGTGAACTTCAAGTCTCAATCAAACATAGTGCACTAAATTTGATTCCAGTTAATGTCTAAATATATATATGTTCCACAAGGACTTTTCAGCGAGATGACATGCTACAGGCAAATATAGTTACTCCAGAGGATATTAAAGGACTAAATGGAATATATTTTAGATGTGATTCTCCAAGTATATATTATTTGAATTATATATATACCCGCAAAAAGGAGTTATTCTGTTGATACCACTCTGCGTGATATTATCTGTTCAAGATCAATAAAATGAAATATAAAATGATTCTTTGTATTTTAGACGGGAAGCATTTAGCACCTGTTTTAAAGGACTCTTTCCAGAGAATTCCTTCGAAAAGTTAAAGAGACCAGGAGAAGATGGATAATTGTTTGTCTGCCCATCATGTTTGATCGTCTTGGTCTAGTAATCCAACGTAAGACATACACCCGATAATCGAAGGAGAATGACGCTCTTCCAAGGCTATGATAGAATTTTATATTGGATCCATCAAATGCAGTTCTCTGTTCATAATTCAAACTACTTTGAAAGAATCAGCGATCTTTCAGTCTTCCTTCGGGGCCCACGGTCGAGAGAGGCCTCGGTAGTCGATGTCATGTACGATCGGAACCTCCATGAATCCTAGATATTATGGACGAAGGAGATTAAATACCATGAGCTGATCATGATGGGTAGATGGGTCGGCGAGATAAAAGGGGTAAGATACCAGGGGCAGTTCTATATCCGTGCTTATTTCTCCACCCCTGTTCTGGTCGGGTCAGGGTATAAATTTAGATCTTTCCGCTGCTATGGGGACGGTTCTTGGCGTGATTTTTCTTTGAGAGCGATCTCCACCCTCGAGCTAAATATTGTGTTCCTGTATTTTAGAAAAGGGAAAACTAGCATCCAATTTCGGGCGGCTCTATCAACATGTCTTGTGATCTCGAATAATGAATGGAAAACTACAGATTACCTGGGGATGTTATCACCCTGGCAGAAAACCAAAATTCCAAGCGCCAAACCTGCCCGAGCTTCTTCGCATTAGAGTCAGAAGGAAAGGCGCACATGAAACGGGCAATTCAGCAATTATCCAGTATAATTGTGAATCATCATGCAATAATAATTCTTGCTCTACAAGATGCAATATCTTCGGGGGGTCTCCGTTTATGGGTTTGGCCAAGGCCTACTCAGGCATCTCGACTGACTGCTCTCTGTTCGCTATTTGCAGATATCAGGATCTCGGAGACAGTTACGTTTAGTCGACTCTCACCATTATTGGATAGCGATTACATCATTCCAGGGGCTATTTTGTGATATTATTATTTCCCTTAAACTGATCTTTAGACGATCCTATGCGCAATCATACTCCGCCATTTTCCGCTTCACGAATCCGATTCCCTTTTGCTCCGCCTGATTCCTGGTTCTGGTAGTTGTCTTCATCGCAGCGGTCGTATTTCATGACACTAGGAAAATAATGTCGACCGTATCAGTGATCTGTTCCTACATCGACTCTCGTTTTTGTTCTCTCTCGGTACGGATTGGAAGTTTGTCACAAATTTGCCGCATGTTGCCCAGTTTTCACAGAGAAATAATGGCGGAGCAGCTAAACACAGCCATCGTATTATTATGAGCATGTGTTTTCGGCCGCGGTAAGCCACGCTAGGATCAAAGCGCCTCTTGATCTAACGCGCTATTCATTGGACTGTCAGAATCATGAAAAGTAATGCTTATGTGTTTATTTTTTGCTTTCTCCTGGTGCGGCTATGCCTCCGTTATTGGGAACAAGGGTGCCTTTGCTGTGCCCTTGAGGTTTATAAACAAATATAACCCTGCTTCCCTCTCTTGATATAAGTTGCCTATCCCTGACAAAGGATCTATTCAGTTACCTCTATCTTGAAGTCGTGACTGACAACGGTTACGTATATATTGTGCGTTCACACTATTGACTTTGGATGCCTGGATTCATTGTCTATATCTTTATTACCCTTACCGACAAATTCTATCTACAAAAATGTTTAAGTTATTTGATCAAAGGCAACCATATACCTCCAACCTGGCTCAACAGACCGCATTTAAAAATGAAGATTCTCAATATACAAGACGACATGACAATATGGCTGTAATACCAAATATAGAACTATACTCACCTGAAGAATACCGACCGCATTGCTACGCAACCGTCTCCCCATACCCCTGCAGAGCACCACTTGATCCTCCCATTTCCATCTTCACCGATCCAGCTGTGTTCGACGAGGAGAAGAGGATCAAGAAATCTAAATCAGAGAGCCGCATACGGAAGAGCTTCTGGTCGAAGTTGAAGAAAAGCAAAAGGGAAAATCAGCGTCCCCATTCAGAAATGCTGGCAGCGTACTCCAGATCAGATTTTCAACAGGGAGAGGCGAGCGTGAAACTTACCTGGTCCGACGAGCATAATATGTGGACGTTTCCCAGTGCCAGTGCCAGTGCCAGTGCCAGTGCCAGCGCCAGCGCCAGCGCCAGCCCCAGGCCTAGCAGCGAGCGATACTCCTCTCCTCAAAAGGAGGGGTGGTCAGCTAGGGATATTGAATATCGAAAAAAATACACGCTCCCTGCTTCCCAGGCCACGAAGGAAAGTGACAAACTTCTCTTTGCACAAATACCTGGTCATTATCCTCTCAGCCTCTACGACTCTGTCAATAATAACGACTCTCTCCCAACCTACACATGTGGTAGGAACTTCGGTGATGTGGCTACCCGAACAGGAACTGAGAGCCAGTGGACTCTCGTGGCGAAGAGGGTCTGTGGATCAGCTTCAGTGCGCTGAAAGTTATCCAGGGATATCACCACTTGTTGTCCTCATCCTTTAGAGAGAGAGTTACATATATACTCAACTACTGGAGTTTTTGGCCTTGTATGTATACATGTGTTGCAACTAGAGACTTTATAGATCGGTTCCCTCGCCGTCAATTCGCAGAGCGAAAGTTTTACAATATCAGCGAAGATGACGTTCACGACTGGAGGCTCCCCTGTTGGTCATTTTTTCCCCTCTTGAATAGGAATGGATTACGCATCTTTCATCATATCACCTGCCCTGCATATGGAATCCTTTTTCATGAGATTTGGATCCTGTTTAGGAGAAGGCTAAGCTTAGAGATGGAATGGAGTAAAAAGTTCTATGGCATGGATTTGCTCTCTTCTAGTTGGTCCCTTTCCTCTGACATTCCACAGAACTGCATCCAGTTTTATCTTGATACCCTCACTTTGTTAATTTATGCATTTTATCATCGAGTCTGCGGTTGTGTTGTTCTTGGCAACGGTGCTTTTGTATATATTTTTCTTCTATTCTGTCTTTCCAATTATCTCCTCTCGTCTTGTTCACTTTCTTTCCCCCCATTGTGGAGCTTCCCCATCTTACACCTTTCTCTTGAACAGCGACTGGATAATTAAAGACAGAAAACCCCCTTCAACATTCATTCATTAGAGCGCTGCGGCGTAGTCACGCCTGTCGAAAAAGTAAAAGGCACCCCTGTGCACAAGGGCAATGCCGGGAAGTCTAACACGGGATTGAGTTAACCTTAAAAATTTATCGCCGTATCTGCCTTTGGAAACTTGGAACTTGGAAGTCTTCAAGGGCACGTGGGGCACCCATGAGACTGGGGAGGAACTAAAATACGAATGCACAGCGCGACCCACGGCATCTATGAGGTAACTAGGTCATCAACACAACGGTGACAATTTCACAAGCAAGGGAAAAGTTGACTAAACTACCTGCTCTGTCCCTCACATTCCCTTCTTGTGCCTTTTGCTTTGGGAAATAATCATTTTCGTACACGAGGCTGATCGGGGAAAAAGAGCCAAGCCAAGAATTTCCAACTTCTTCGCCTGAACTTTGGAACAAATCGTACTTGCAGGACAATTCTCCTTTAATTTAATTAACCCTTAGGGTGTTTCGGAAACGGAGCCCTTCTTGTACGTGTCTGCAGGATGAGGGGCCTAAGGTGTTAATCTGGTGATATCGTTGACGGTGAATACTGCTCGTCGGCAAGACGCGGTGGTCTTGATGCTATCTTGAGACCGTAAGGAGTGGGCATGAACGTAATACTCTCGTGGACTTTGCATCAAATATCTGATACCCAGCTTGTGACATTGGAGTTTTGTGTGTTCTTAAAAGTCTCCCCTTTAATCATAGGATGGATAATTATCGACACTAAGCCTCCGAGACGCGGCTGTTGAAGACATCAAGATCGTGCGTTCGGAGTATGAAAAATGTATGGCACTCAAATATTGTGCATGTCTGCCTAATCATTGTATAAGTCGCTGGCTGAATTATCGCAGCCGTGTCATTCTATTCTGCGATGTGGTGCGAGGGTGTTTTCAAAAACAATGACCGCGAGTTTTTCCCCTTTGGCAGGTCGCTCTTATTTTGAAGCTTGTTCATCAGACCCAGAGCCCAAGAGTTAGGCTCGCTGCGCATTTCAGCGGCTGCCGCAACATGTAGTTACAGGCATGACATAATCTGCCTTGAGCTCAACCTCACTCTTGGCTTCAGCCTTCCCTACTCATTCCTTTGCTCAACGCCTATGTCGCCCTATTTTTGGTCCATGAAAGCCTCAATTTTCCGTTGCTATTATTAGATTATTTGCAGTGACTCAAGGGAAACACAGATAGGTAATCGGGCGTTGACTTTAAGTCGCGTTCTTCTCCCCTTCAGCGCTAACTAGACAGTCGCGGCGTGATAGATAGAGAATGAAGAATAATATGCTTTTAACCCCGCCCGTCGGCCAAGAACTTCCTGTGAATGGAGAACCGGAACGACCGAAGCATTGAAGTGCTCTTGAAACTATGTCCCTCCTAGAAGTCCCATCTTCAGACCTTGCTTTCTCGACGTGGCTCTGGGGAAGCTAAGACCAAACAAGGAGAGGCTTGACAATTCTAAGAATGCCTCTGGCTCAATTATGAACTGGAAACTCGCTACACACTTGAATGGATATCTTGAAAAATGAAAATGGGGGGTGTCTGTATTATTTCATGCCATATGATCGCCAACCTGTCATCAAAGAATCCGCGCCAGGAAGTAGAGTATTACCCGTGGAAATTGCCTTTTAGGTAGTCAATGTGCTGGTCTTGTTTTCTCGTTTTCGGTTCCGATAAGTATCAGGCGGTCTCATTTGGTATACGTTTTGCTCATTGTCTTGGTGGCATTATGGGAATCTGCAGGATATCCCGGACAAGAGAAATTCAACAGTCCTGGTTCTAGTGCTCGAATATGCAAGCAAATCGGTTTCCTAAAGTCTCCAGAAGGAGACCTTGGAATAAAAACGCGCAGTTCCTCGAGGTCGACCACGTTTTTCCAACTTCGTCCAAATTTTACTCAAAGCTGCAAATTTACGTTGGTAGCAAAACCTGGGGTAGTACCAAAGGTATCGAGAGTGGTGCACAAAAGTTTTCTCGAGGAGCCGGTTTCGCTAGTTCTCCGACACCCGACCCGAGGATGTAATTTGGCCCTTTCGCCTGTATGTCAAGGCTCTTGTTTTGGCTAATGGAGCCGTTACAGTCGACTGGCCTGGTCTGCAGGACTCAAATTCTGCCAGAGCAGCTGTTGCTTTGCGATGCATTAATGATGCTCTTAACGCTAAATACAGATCATCTGGATTGTGCTTTTAACGAAGTTACGTGTATTTGCATCAAGACCGACGCTTTCAATTGTCTTTAAGCTTGGATAACGTAATCCACCACTAAACGACCTGAACCACTAAATGACCTGTAGATTCAAAAACACCGCACTGCGTTGGAATTCGAATATCCTCACAAACCACGAATTTACTAATTAATTTAATTAAATGATTTAATAGAAGAATTTCCTAATTACATATAAAATTGGGTGTTTCAAATAAATTGATGTGTGGATGGCTTGATAATTTGACCACTGCTGGAAATCCAGAGTGAAGGCAGAGTATAAGGGGTTGAACCCCTAGATTTGCTCTGGCTGGCTGACTCAGCCTAGCCATCGTTTGCACGTGCGCACGTGATCATGCTACGCGAGCTTGCTTAAGCTTGAGTTCTCATCTCATTCTTTTCTTCCCTTTCTCAAGCAATTCGTCCTTGTTATATAGGAGGACTAGCCTCTAGTTCTTAGAGCTTAACCCTTTACATTACGAATTGCTTCACTCCTTTCATTGATAGGCCACTGGGAGCCTTAATCCTGTATCATGAAGCTCAGCAAATGTGCTGACATATAATAGACTATTGGGAGCCTTAAATCCTGCATCATGAAGTTCAGTGATAGCACTGGTATATGAATAGACTGGGTTAGCAATTGTGCTAACAAATGAACAAGCAACATTGAAAATGTCTAGCCAAATGAGATAAAGTGGCAGACTTGTACAACAAATACACAAATGAATCAACATGAAGCAATGAGCAGGGATGCCCCCAGCAGCTTTGAACAACAATGGATGGCCTTTCTCCAACAGCAGGAACAGGTCCAGTGTGAGAACAGGGATTTAATAGCAGCTCAGCAAGCTGAAATAGCTAATCTACAACAAGCTTTGAACACTCTGACATCAACCCTCTCTCAATCAAACCTGCAACCACCCATTGCAGTCAGAAGATCAAAGATCAAGCTACTGGACTGCAAGAAGTATGATGATTCTAATCTGAAGCACTACCCTCAGTGAGAGCTAAAGCTTCAATCAAAACTTAAGGTTGATGGGAAAGCTTTAAGTAATAATGAGGAATGTGCTTGGTATGTGTACTCAAGACTGAAAGGAATGGCAGCAGCTCAAGTTTACCCCTGGATTGAGAATAATAAGGACAAGATCAACTTCATGATAGAGAGCTTACTGAAGCAGACATGCATGCTCTTTAGTGATTCTGCATGACAGGAAAAGGCTATGCAAAAGCTCAACAATATATGACAGGGTAAAAGAGCTCTCTTTGACTTTCTGCTCAAATTTAATCAGCTACTGCTGGAAGCTGGTGGTCATGAATGAGATGATCACATTAAAAAGAGGTATTTGAAATTTGCTCTAAGCATGGAGCTGAGGGAAGGCATGGTGGATGTAAGGGAATTATCTCTCTATGAGAATTACTGCAAGGAGCTTAGATTAGTTGATCATCAACTCTCTGAGCTTAAGACTTTAAGGCAGTGGTCTAAATGTTGTGAGGGCAGATCTTCTTCAGATCATATGACATCTAATTCATACTCTCTACTTTGTCATGCTGTTCTTGACTGATGAAATCAGTCTTAAGCTTCCACTGATGATCTGATGGATCTCTCTCCTGGTGCTGTGACCCCAAGCACTCACCACATCAAATTGGTAAATCAGACAGAGGTTAATTGATGAAGAGAGCAAGGCCTGTGCCTGAGATGTGGAGCTGAAGGTCATATGATTAAGAGCTGCTCATTCAAACCTCCCAGATGCCCTGCCACCCTCATAATAGCTAAGGTGATCCCTGAGCCGGTACTGGACAACGACAATGTGGATATGAGTGAGGATTTGAGAAAAGAGTAGCTCCAACCAAAAGACACTGAAAAGAGTGAAATAAGAAGCTTATGAGAAAGCAATGGAGAAGATTTAAATTTAAGATGATATTCAAACCCTTCACTGTTGATGCTTTGATAGATAATGTCTTTTTGACTAGAGCAATGATAGACAGTGGATGTAATGTCTATGATCTTATTTCTCAATTCTATGTTAACAAGCATAAGCTCCTGTGCATTGAAATTCCCCCTGTTAAAATAACTGGCTTTGAAGACTTCATGGGGCTCTTCACAAGCATAGTGACTGGCATTCAAATTGATATAGACAGTCACATAACTGAACAGGCCTTTCTCTACATGGTGAATGAGTTACATGGTCATGATATGTATCTAGATGACCTCTGGCTGGCCCAGCAAAAGATGATCATGATTTCTCATTGAAGAATTGTGAGATTTGAAGAGAGTGACATAGAGGTAGAGTCTAGTTCAAATGCAAAAGCTGATGTGAATTCCATCTCTACTGTAAGCTTCTCTAGGCTTGTGAGCACTTGAGAGAAGTGAAACATTGAGATCTTCACTGTCAGTTTGACCAACATTCAAAAGACTCTAGAAGTGAAATCAAAGATTGACCCTAGAGAGAAGCTGCCTGAACATTATCATGAGTTTTTGAACATATTTGATAAGGAAGTCACTAATGCTCTACCCCCACTTTGTGGCCCAGGTAGAGATCATGGGATTGAACTGATTAAAAAGGCTGATGGTAGTACAGAACAACCCTCTTGAGGCTCATTATATAATATGTCTTGAGAGGAACTACTGGCTTTGTGAAAGACTCTTACAGATTATCTAGATAAGAGTTTTATTAGAATGAGCAACTCCCCTATGGTCACCTCTGTACTATTTGCAAAGAAGCCTGGAGATGAGCTAAGATTCTGTGTGAACTATCAAGCTCTTAACAAAATCATCTGAAAGAATTGATATTCTCTATCATTAATCAGTGAGACTCTACAGTGAATTGGACAGACTAAATGATTCACTAAGCTGGACATTATTGCAGCTTTTCACAAGATTCAAATCACAGAAGGTGATGAGTGGATGACAGTCTTTAGAACCAGATATAGACTATTTGAGTGGCTGATTACACTCTTTGATTTGGCCAATGCTCCAAGCACATTTCAAAAATATATCAACTGGGCATTATGTGGATATCTGGACGACTTCTGCTCAGTCTATTTAGATGACATTTTGATATTTTCCTCAAGAAGCTTACAGGAGCATCATGAGCATATACAAAAGATGCTTACACATCTATGGGAAGCAGGCCTGCAGGCAGATATTAGAAAGAGTGAGTTCAAGATGAACAGCACAAAATATCTTGAATTCATCATTGAAGCAGGCAAGGGTATATGAATGAATCCAGAGAAGGTTAAAGCTGTTTTGAAATGAGTGACATCTACTACTCTTAAAGATGTATGAGAATTTTTAAACTTTGCCAATTTCTATAGACAATTTATCAGGGATTTCTCAAAGATCACAACCTCACTGACAATTCTTACATGCAAGAATGTTCCTTTTTTATGGATGAGCAAGGCTGAGGAAGCTTTTAAGTGTCTAAAATTAATGTTTATCTTCACTTCAATCCTGCTTCAATTTGACCCTGATTGTGAGACTATATTGAAAATGAACTTCTTAGATTATATCTCAGGAGAAGTGCTGCTACAATATGATGAGCAGAGCATTCTACACCCATGTGCCTTCTTCTCTCACAAGCATTCACCTGCGGAATGCAACTATGAGATTCATGATAAGGAGTTATTAGTGATAATTGAGTGTTTAAAGGAATGGGATGCTGATATAAGGGGTTGAACCCCTAGATTTGCTCTGGCTGGCTGACTCAGCCTAGCCATTGTTTGCACGTGCGCACGTGATCATGCTACGTGAGCTTGCTTAAGCTCGAGTTCTCATCTCATTCTTTTCTTCCCTTTCTCAAGCAATTCGTCCTTGTTATATAGGAGGACTAGCCTCTAGTTCTTAGAGCTTAACCCTTTACAGCTGAGCTACAAAGTGTAAAGGAATTCAAGATCCTCACAGATCATAAGAATCTAGAATACTTCATGACTATACACAAACTAAATGAAAGACAGCTACATTGGATGGATATTCTCTATTGATTCAACTTCAGGATTGATTACCAGCCAGGGAAGTTGAACATTGGACCAGATGCTCTATCATGAAGAGAGCAGAACATGTCACAGGACACTGATGATGAGAGGATCAAGCAGAGGCAAGCTCAACTACTTAAGTTTAATGTACTGGCATTTGGAATGGAACCAATAGTGATTATTGCCAGTGTGAAACCTGAGATGTCTCTTCAAGCTCAGTGAAATGAGGCTCACAAAAATGACAAGATTCTGCAGTGTCTGGAGCAGACTCTTTGTGAGAGAAGATTCAGATTTTCTTCTAAACTCAGCATTAAGGTCTCTGTCTCTGAGTGCTCTTTAAATGAGAATAAGAAGCTTCTCTTTCAAGGTCATAAGTGAGTGTCAGACTTCAAACCTCTTTGAACCAGGTTAGTGCATGAGGCTCATGACTCATCTCTTACTGATCATCCTGGGTGAGAGCAAACAGTAGAAGTTCTAAGATATGAGTTCTACTGATCAGGCTATGCTGCTGATGTGAGAAGAATAATCAGAAACTGTCATCTTTGCAGATCAAACATCACATAAAGAGATTGATGTCAGGAACTGCTTAAGTCTCTTCTCATTTCTAAATACATGTGATAAAAGCTTTTTATGAACTTTATTGTAAACTTATCAAGCTCTAAAGAATACACAAACATCATGATTATAACAGACGGACTGATCAAGAGAATTATATTAAAAACAGTTAAGAAAACTGATGTGAAGACAATGACTAGAGTGTTTCTTCACAACATCATTTCTCAACATGGCATTTCTAAGGCAGTAGTATCAAATCAAGAGTCAGCTTTCACAAGCATGTTTTGAACTTGAGTGTGTGAGAAATTAGACATTAAAAGATGACTCTTCACAGTCTATCACTCAGAGACTGATGAAGCTACAGAGTGAATAAATCAAATTCTGAAAATCTATCTACACTAGTACATTAGCTTTCAACAGGATGACTGGCATGAATGACTCTCTCTGACAGAGCTGATCATCAATAATAGAGATGCTGTCTCAACAGATATGAGCTTATTCTTTTTAATACATCTTTTATGTCTTCTTCATTGATATAGCTGATGCACCTCCTGTTAAAACACCACATAATCTCATTGAGTTTGCAGATGATTATATGAGAAAGATCTGTAAAGTGTTGAAGTGAGTTCAAGTAAAAATGACAGATGCTCAGCAATCTCAAAAGAACTATATGAATAGATGAAGAGACTCAGCTCTAAGCTTTCAACCTGAAGATAAGATCTAATTAAGCTTAGAAAACATGAGAACTAATCACCTGTGCAAGAAGCTGAATGCAAAATACAATCAATATACTGTACTAGAAAAGATAAAATCTCATGCATATCAACTGAATATTCCACTCAGCATTCACAATGTCTTTAATGTAAAGCTTCTACATATAATAACAACAGATTTCTTGTCTAGTCAGAGGCAAACTGACTGGCAGTCACTCACTATAGAGACCTCAGAAGAACCTGAGTTTGAGATTGAGGAAATTTGAGATGAACAAATCTACTAGAGAAAAAAGCAATACCTTGTTAAATGAGTAGATTGGGCTGAGTCTACATGAAATGATATGAGTCTCCTATAAGAAGGAAAGGCTTTGAACACTTGAGAGGCCTCTCAGCAGGCAAAACTAGGTGTAAAGAGGACTTTAAATAGTCATAAAGACCTGCAACAAAGAGGGAGAAGGGGGGTATTATAAGGGGCTGAACCTCTAGATTTGCTCTGACTGATTGACTCAGCCTAGCCATCATTTGCATGTGTACATGTGATCATGCTGCACATGTGCACGTGATCATGCTACATGAACTTGCTTAAGCTTGTGTTCTCATCTCATTCTTTTCTTCCCTTTCCCAAGCAATTCATCCTTGTTATATAGGAGGACTAGCCTCTAGTTCTTAGAGCTTAATTCTTTATAATCTTATATGTCATTTGACTGACAATCATTAGTGAAAAAATTGAATATGAATTAGAAAAAAATTAAAAAACAGTAAGAAGCTTCATTCACTGAATGAGATAGATTTGAAATCAGACAAGTAGAGATATAAGAATAGTATAGAAACAGATAAAGAGACAGACTGACAAACATCATTAAGAGTCTTGACTTTATAGTAGAAGATTTTATTTATTTAATATTAAAATCATATAAAATAAATTAATCAAGCTGTAAACTGACAAAGCAGAACACTGATCTCTTCAGAATTCTGAAGAAGATTAATAATGTCTACAAACTGAACCTCTCTGCAACAATGAAAATTTATTCAATCTTCTTCTCATATAAGTTATGCAAGAATCTTAGAAATCTCATACCTGGTCAGATTGTGAGACCACCAGACCCAATTGAAATAGATGAGAAGAATGAATGAGAGATAAATTGTATACTGGCCAGTTGAATAAGCCAGGGCAAGCTGCAGTATCAAGTATATTGGAAAGAGTTTGATGAGAATTCTTTATAATACTATATTCATGATTTCAAAGGATCACCTTATGCAATATAGGATTTCCATGAGGCCAACCCCACTAAAGCCAGACCATCAAAACACCTAGATGAATGGGTAAGAACATGGGAGATGAGCAGCTATCTGAAAGATGAAGATGATGATGATCTTCCAGCATGAGGGCATGCCCACTTCTAGATCAGGGGTGATATTAGGCTCAGAGGCTAGGTTTATCCCCATCACGTGACCACGCCCCACATGGGACCTAGCGGATCGGCCGTGACTCAGTCACGTGATCACGTGGGCCGTTTATAATCTGAGCAGACCCTGACACCCCTTTTCCTCACCAACCTTAGTATTTCGTTATATAGCAGTTAGCAACGCAGAGAGATTCTATCTTAGACAGCTCACATTCGCTCCCTAACACATAGTGCTTGCAGCGCCTACATACCTACCCTCTTATGATCTTAGTTATAGAGCTTCTCACGCTTCCTTTTGACACTTAGTTCATTCACCTTAGTGTCCTCACAATACATTCTGAATGCTGATCTGTGAAGCAGCTCATTCAGTTGATTCCAACTGACTCATCTGTGATTTCTGTAATGAGATTTCAAATGATTTGAGGTGTAGAAGCAAAGCTGTGAGCTGTCAGCTTCTCTATATGAAGAAGCAGCTGCTCTTCCTGCAGATTTGAGATCTTCTTCTTATGGTGTGAGGCAGCTTCATTTTGTGATAGTTGAGTTCCAATATAGTGCTGGCGCAATGTTGTCATGTTGATTCCATATTTCCTAGCAGTCACAGTGTAATTTTTGACCTTTTGTGACTTCAAATCTGCAATTGCAAGCTGAATTGAATCCTTGTTGACCATGGTGGAGCGTTGCGAAATGGGGGGTTGAAATTCGTTTTGGCGAAAATCACAGGTCGTTTAGTGGTGGATTACGTTAATATGCAACTACACCTAGATTCGCACGTTCCCGCTGCTGATGGTCAACAACATGAGGATAAACGCTAGATGTTGAAAGAGGAGCGTTGACAAACTCTAGCAACATTGGACGAACTTCTTGAGGAAATTCATAATTTTGCAGAGCTCCCCGGATTCGCGAACAGGCATGTCTACTCCAGGTTGACGACGACGGGTTAGTGGTTACCTTTTTTCCGCGGACGGAGCAGGTATGTGGAGAGACCTCTGATGTCAAATCTCAAAGCGATACGGATATGGACCTTGTTGATTTGCCGTAGCAACAATCTGTGGAAGTTGTAGAACAGAAACTCCACGACGCTACGAAGAAACAAAAAGCAGTTTTCTGATCGGAAGAAGGAAATTGATTTGGAACTTAAACATATTAACTAACAGTTAAAAGATTCCCAGGAGAAGAAACAAGCATTGTACCTGGAGTGTATCTCAGGTAGAAACCAATATGCAAAATCTCAAATCCAGAAGGATTTAGTAGATGTCAAAGACTTCGATGAAGATAATTTCGACCCCATGGTCAGCAAGCGAGATTATGACTAAATTGCACTACCCCTTGCTGTGTTTGTGTATCCCCTAGAGGATATCAGAAGCTACAAGGTCACTTTTGAAACGAAACTCCCATCAGAGTGTTCAAAGAAAGCCTACATGCTGAAATACCATCGCTTCAAACCCATTGTTGTGGTTTAACCGTGGTGGAGCATAAATCTACATTCCAAAAGTTCTTCAATAGTCTTGAGCAACTGCTCAATTCTCTGTAGCTTCTCTCCTCACCTGAAGAACTAGAAAACTCCCTTCACGAAGCAGAGGTAAATGAGACCCGTGTTTTCTTGGAGGAGCGATCGAGTTTTTGGAACAAGTATACAACCACCGCCATTGCCACTCATCATTATTGCAATGGATTTCCTGATCACCTACGTTACCATTGTGGTTCTAATGAATGCAGGGTCCTGGAAAGGTTGAGGACGAGTATTTCAGCGAAATTACGAAGGCAGTTCGAGATAGCGTTTTTAATAAGTTCAATATATCCACCACAGCTTTCTCCGACGAATTCTCGTTGCACAATGAAAGATCACTTGTGCTCACATATTGTAGGAATTGCTCCTTCTCGGGCTTGGAACAAGGCAAATGATAGAATTGCGCAATGGAATCGACCGCCGAACGAAGCGGGACTTGCTTGGAATACTTACCAAGCACTCTGTCGACGCAGCAAAGTTTTCATTAAGGATGTCAGTGTAACCCTCCCAATTGTAAACTTTGAAAATGTTATTATTGACATCGCAACAGGGTCGGAATAGGGAATTGTAAGAATCAACAATATCATGATGACAAGATCTGTATATCTGACAATTCTAGGACCACACCTATGATGAAACTACTTGGTCGCTGCCTGGGAAATGTAAGATATGTATCACCGTTTTGAAAAGCTATGTGCCTCCTGTATTGGGTTGTTGAGTTGGAGTCAGTAAGCTAATAACCGTGCCTTTGTTCCCACCGTTGTTGATGCCTTGAAGGAGGGATATATTGAATGCAGCTCCGCAACTGGTAACTTCTCACTTAAGCATCTCCGGGCTGCCGTCATCATCTAATGGTATTGCTCGTTACATGAAAGGTGTATCAGTAAGCATGAAAGATATCATCGCCCAGCGGTCGAAGAAGTTCGTCATGAGATTCGAGAAGAGCACGGAGAAAGTCAAGTTCGGGGTAGAGGCAAATCGTAGGGCTATACGACCTGATAGTGTTCGGAGCCGATAGCATTATCAACCGATTATCCTGGGATTACCAAAGAGTCTCTCCCTTTTTGTTATTCTGCGCGCTTTTTCCGATTATCTGATGCAACTTCACGCTTTTCAGAAAGGTGCGTTTTTTCACTTGTTCACATTCCCTGATGAGGTTTTAAATCCCTTCCTTTTTAAGCATACCATCTGTCCCCTTAAGATAACTATGACACGACTGACCCTGCCCAGAGAGCTAATGCACGGCCTGTTCACGAAAAATAATACTACATATGAACAACGCCAGTATGACTTGCATTAGCCTTAAAACCTCACGGCGCCAAAATTTCCCCAGGTCCAGCTGCATCTAGTAGTAGCTACATCTGGCTGTTGTCGTTCGTCCATGACATTGGACCCCGTACTTAGTCCATGGCTGGCAACGGTTGGAAAAAAGGAATGCAACCTGTGAAACTAGTTGGATAACTAAAGTAACATTCAGGGGAGAGATTGAGAAGTGGCAAGTTTTGTTTATTTCCCAGGCAATCATTGTAGCTAATTGCTCTGGAACGAATTGGTGTATCAACGGGAGAATTGATGCAAAATGATATAGAAGATAAAGCGGGTTAACGATCTATCTGAAACTTCCTATTGATTATTCTTCCGTTAGGAAATGTAGGGTTTAATTTAGAATGGTATCCCTGCGGGCACCAATATCCTCGGAGATTGCAAGTCGGGTTTAATTAGTCGGGAGGCCCTTTGTCCTATCCTTATTAATTCAACACTGACAAACATGCCTTAGAATGTTTTCCTTAATTTGCTGTACTTTTTCTATATATAGCATGGGTTACCCATAAATCCGTGCTAAAGGGCTGTTGCTTTTCAACGAGAACAATCCAACTGCAAACTTATAGGTAGCGCATCAACTTGCGTATCTCACAATTCATCGAGAGAACCAGAAGCCGTGGTCAATTGGTTCAAGGTATGCCAATGGGTCTATCTTCGAGTTGAAGGCCAGGCAAGGATTTGATGAAATGCGCTCCAGACCCATTTCCTACATGACCTGATTACTGAGTGGAAACGAAACTGGGGTGATTTGTTGAAGATTTGAAGAACTTCGATTACCTCGGACATCAATGGAATTCCCGAATTTCCTCTTGAGGTTGAGAAAGTGTGCGTAGTCTCTGCTTTCAAGCCTGTGAAGGAACCCATTGATCGGGGTATTTTGTTTTGAAGAGAACCCATCCCCTTTTTAGTTGGTTCGCGACTTGAACGAATGTTCCTAGCGTCTGAAAAAATTTTAACTCTGGGGATAAGTGCTGTCGTTCGATTTATGAGTGCAGAGGGTTAAAATCCAAGGCGGGTTTTGTTTCTGCTGCATATTTTGGATTATGAGCACATTGTAGCCGTCGTGCTTTACCTTGGCATGTTGAAATAGGGTGGTCCGCAGAACCCTACAGGCATGCTAAAAGGACATGGCGATCAGAGCTTCTTCTACCGTTGATATTGAGGATTGTCCAATCATCTTTACAGGAGGAGATATATCCGCCACTGAACTTACTATGTTCATCTCGACGGCATGCTACTCTTTCTGCAGCCCTCACGGTTAGAAACGCCACATATGTACGGTCCTATGTCAATCCCTCAAGCCTAGAGTCTCCACACGAGCGTGGTGTAGCTCCAAATCCCTGCTCTAGACCTTTGTTTTACAAAAAACGAGGTACAGAAGAAATGCAGCTCCTAGAAATGTTTTTAGTGATAATGGACTCTAGTTGCTGAACACAAGACCATATTAACGCTGTTGTGTGAAATAACCCCTCACATAATACTTGGAAATGCATGAGAATACTAAAAATGTCTCCAGCTATGAAGGGAGTAAGGGTGATTTTGCCTGGGTAACCCATCAACAATACCTCATCCTAAATTGAGCTGGTAGCTCTTAGTTCGGTGCGTAGGCCGGCTGTCAAAACAGAACAGGTTATGACAGATATCACACATGTTTGAAAGTTCGATTGGGAGGGCATCAGAACACTGATTTGATTTCTTCTCAGGTAGAGAACTTACGTGCTATCGCTTCCAAAATGGTCGTCTTAATCCTTCACTAGAACAGCCATTGCATCCGGACAACGGACAACTTGTAACAGGACAAAATACACAGAATCAAGTTAGCTTTTTGAAGACGACTGTTCTGGATTTCAGGTAGATAAACCGCGAATTCTAGTCTTTCAGTTCACTACCGTTTGAAAACAAAGCCACTTCTAGGAAAGGCGTAGAGAATACGTCAACAGGTCGTCTCCGACTGATCGCGTTTCAGGGGGAAAGGGGTGGAGCACGAGAAATATTATTGACCGGTGTAGGTAATCGAGTTGTGCATATGCCGGTATTTTCACCAGATGACTCCATGTATGTGAGCACGAGTTTCCGATTTTAATCAACGGCTTCCAAAGCTTTGTTTTGCGTGGCATGCCGATGGATGCCCGATATTAGTTACGGGAATATAAAAGGTAGGATTAAAGAAAGGCTCCAATGGAGCACTGTGACAGGAGGATGGGTTTGTCCATCCCAGCCCCAAGATTACGTCGTACTGGGTTTTGAAAGAGACATGCATGCAATAATACCAAGCACCCCGCTGTGCTTTCAGCGGAGAGGAAAAGTTATATGGCGGTGGTAGCTGACGACACAAGCCGGAAAGCTGTGATGTTGACCCGAAGATAAAACGGAGACCAGGGGAAATCTGATGAGATCTGACAGGGCTGAGGATAGCGTTCCCCATACCAGCAGTGTCAGTGAACCTCGATGTCGGTGACGATGCCAATGTGCGATTCTGATGCTCGAGATATTCGCTCCCTGTTTGAGCCCCTTGGCGCTAGTCATGAAGCGACGACTATGACGCATCGGTCCTAGCCCGCGACTCGGATTGCTTTGTCATGAAGGCTTCAACCCTTACCCCCTCCCAGACTTCATACAGTTTCTGTTCAACATCGAGGGGCAACACCCACTGCAACCTTACATTTTACGTCTAGGTGTTCTGCTAAGCCTGCTAAGTGGTATTCGCCTCTCCAGAAGCATACTGTAGAATATCAATGCCTGCTCTGTAGCAACAAAATAACAAAATTATTCCCTGCAATTGTATTCTGCTTCCCACCTATCAGCTGCCGTCCTAATGTGCTTGACAACGCAGGGTTTTTGTCGGCGCCTACGGCAAGCAGGATCTTTTTTTTTTTTTTTATCACAGCACATAAAACGGGACTGGCTGATGTCCGGTTGCTTGGGCTCAAGAACCTTGCTGCAGAAAAGAAAAGATTTCCAGTGCAAAATTACGGCGGCATCGGAGGCGTTCAGCCAAATGTGACACCCCGTCTGAATTCGTCATTCGATGGAAGACATTCTTGGCTCCCGCTGATGAGACACATTTGCCTTCATGATAGCGAAGCGTCAAACCCTTAAGGCACTAAGCTGGGATTCACATCCCGGTCTCTCAGTGCCTTGCAGATGCTAGCCTCAGTCCACCGAGAGACTCCGCAATATACAACTTACTGTTTTGAGAGAAGCCTTTTGCCACGCTCTTGGGACAAATTGAGGAACGAAGGATGGTTTGAGTGACAGGCTAGGCCACTCTTCCTTTTTATCTGTCTTCTCTCTGATACCTCCTTGGAGGATAATGTGTTCCAAACCAACCCGTCCCAAGATCAATATATCCTGTTATGGTCAGCCCATCTCTTCTTCATTCCTTTTAACTCTCTGTCATCTTTTACGCAGTCTTTCCTTGCACTCATGCCATATTGCGCTCAGTCACTCTCAGATTTTCAATTTTTGATATAGCGATTGTTATATTATTAACCTCACTCTTCAAAATATTTCTTGTTCGTGCTGGCTGGCTCTCTCTTCCAAATTGCTGGCAACGATTGAGATGAGTGTCATTCTTAAAGTGACATTCTGCTCAGAACGAGCTCATTAATAAGTCATATATTTTTGCTTTACTGGTTAATGCCAAATATCCAGCTCAGCTTCTAAATTCTATTCTTGGATCCCACAGAAAAACTAAACGGACGCTCCTTAAAGAATCACAAAACCCCAATTCTCTTACCCTTAACACATAGAAGTTATTTGTGGTATATCGACCTCAACTTTGGGTATATTTACAGAAATCTGTGGTATACGCTTTTTACAGCGCATCCGAAGGCCCTCATCAATATGCTGTCTAGCGAAATAGAGCACAGCCAGATAACACGACTGTATGTAAAGTTGCCCTAGAATTCTCATGCGAGATGTTCCTGTTAACCCGGATGACAACGCTGATGTCTTGATCGTCATAGAAACCAATGGCCGTCAACTTTCATTTCCCCCATGGGCTTTTCACCACCCACGCCGGGAAGTGACTTACAAGACACCAATCTTAATCCCGAGAGAGTAATAGATGAAGGGAGCTTGGCAGCCGGTACAATAGGCTCATTTGGCCTAAAATCTTGGACCACAGACAACCAAACCGATGCATTGATGACTTCCAGGCACAAAAAGATATATGAGAGCGTTTACTCTTTACCCCCTACCCTTAATTCGCCCAAAGTGCCGATGTGGAGCACTTACGGAATTCGACTGCCGTCACAATACTTTATTCCTCCTGACTTTGGAACTTCAAATGGGATGTTAGGAAACAGCGCTGTAGATGAGGGTAGGTGCTGCTTGATTTCTGAATTCCCCATATGCCTTGAGTTTTACTCAAATTTTAATGAACAAAATTTAGTGGAGAGCCTTCCTGCATTTTCAGTGCTCGATTCCGAGCTGCCTCTATTCCCGAGCCAACTTTCCCAGGTCGGGAATGTTCCATTTGCAAACAGGAAACCTAACCAACTTCCAAGCCATCAGTCTCTAACTCTCAACACAAACGTTGTTACTCGCCCTCTGTCAGACTCTTATTTTTCCCTATCAAGCAACACTGGATCTTTCGACTTCACCAGTCTTTCTGCCTTTTCAGAAGTTCCGTCTTTTGCCTCTGATACTAGTTCTGAATATACCCCGAAAAGCTCTCTTAACCTATCTTCTACGCCTCTTTCCCCTGTTCCATCTCCAAGACATACACAGTCTGATCTAGTTCGTGGAGGGAGTCGACAAAGAGCCTCAGTAAGCCCCAGCGCAAGTATCCGAGCAAGCCCGCATAGCTTAGACGGTGTCCGCAAACGATGGTCGACAGGCTGCTACGCACCACGCCCAAATCGTGTTACGTCTCCATTCTTGACACAAAATCATGTCAGTTTATCCCGGCTCCCATCTCCTTCCATGTGGCAAAACCGCATTTCCTCATCGACGAATACTGCACGACAACAGACAAGGAATAGAAGCTCGGCACATTTTCAACAGAATAATCTTTTGCTGCTTTCAAATTTTGAAGGGAATGCTCGTTTCAGAAATCCTGCTGTGCTAGCATCCCAAGGTACTTTTAGAACACTACCAAGTGACACAGACCCCCAATATCATTATTTCGACCTCTATTCCGAGTTTCCTAGCCCACCCGATTTGCTAGGACCGTTAAAGGAGGAACCAGTTCCCCCTCCTCCTGAGGATATGATGCCGGATGATCCGAACATGATACCTCATAAACAAGAGCTTCGGTTCGAGAATGATTTGTATACGCCAAAATGGGTTCGAGGCCACGGAAATAAGCGTGAGGGCTGGTGTGGAATTTGCAAGCCAGGTCGGTGGCTTGTGCTCAAGAACTCTGCGTTTTGGTATGATAAAAGTTTCAGCCATGGCATCAGTGCCGCTGCGGGCCAGGCATTTGCACCTCCCAAAGAAGCAAGGAGAACAGAAGGAAATACAAGTGTCTGGGAAGGCCTCTGTGCAAACTGTGGGGATTGGGTAGCTCTGGTGAGCAGTAAAAAGAAGGGTACTACATGGTTCAGACATGCATACAAGGTACGAGTTGCGTGCTAGATGAGGAGAAAAGACGTCTATCATGCTATCTATTTGCAGTCTGCACCTTTCCTCCCGCGATAACGGTTATTTTTTCACTAACATCTTTGATTATTAGTGTCATAACAATAATCAAAAGAACGAAACCCTCAAGCGCCGCAGAGAGCACCATCCCAATAAAGCCCGTCAGCCAGATCCAGATTCCCTTTCGAAATCAACTTCCCAAGTAGCGATTCCGAGAGTAGAGCCAACGGGCCCATTAACATTCCTGTAGGTGTCTCTGCTTCTCGGAGGTCAACTATTAGATTGGGGTAAAGGCCGTTTTATTGCTGAATATCAACATGACAATGATCTGATGAGTTACGATTCCTGTTTCTATTTCCCTCTACCTCTTTACTAATTTGGTACCTTATTATCCCCTCAGGTTTTGTTTTACACCTGTAAAATCTTTTCTCCCCCTACTTACCCTTTTCTTTATATTGTTTTATTTGGCTTCGAAACAACAAAATTTGCTGGCGTGGAGAATTTTGCATCCTTATACTTTGATATCATGACAGGTTAAGCCGCTCTGTTCCGTGCTCCCATTCACCACTTTACATGGTCGTCTACTTTCAGTTACATTCTTTAACTTTTACTCCATGTTTGATATCTTTTAACACTTTAGATGTATTTAGCTGGATTATTTTATGATAATGACGGCGCTAGGCAGCTCACGAGAGGGGCTGGCAGGTGTCTGCTAGCAAAGGCGTGGCCATGGAATGCTTTTATTTATATCTAATTATCGAAAGGTGTCTTTTATTCATTACTTTTTTATATATACATAGTCTATTCCCCATATTGATTCGAGGCAGTTTCATATGATAAAGAGTATTCATTCAATAATCCTGACCGAGTATACGGAGTTAGATGTTTAGATTAACGGGCATGATGATGCTATGCTATAACTAATTATGAGGATGACAACAAAAAGCACGGTTTCAAAAATTCACTTTCCTTCTTCGCCGTTCTGCGGTAACTAGTTAGAGAGTGCGCAGAAGAGGGGATCCATAGAATGATATCACTCATCACACCCCATCTAGCAGTTTTAGAGAAGCTAGTCTGCTCTAAATTTATTCATGATTGGACAGTGATCGGTGGGAAAGGTCCCTTTGCTGTGTGTGGAAATGCTCGAATCCAGTAGAAGTTCATTTGCTTCTTGCTTGCTTTTTAATGGTTAATATCAGTTAGTTTACTCCTGTAATCACCTTTAAATCACCCCTCATCATCTGCTTGATCTGAATAATAATAATAATAATAATAATAATAATAAGAAGAAGAAGAAGAAGAAGAAGAAGGGATCCTTTAATAAACCCAGTCTTTGTCTCTTTTTTTGTGTGTGGTTATATACAACATCAACAAGACACATTGAATATATTTGCCCAGATCTTTGTCTGTAGCTGCGACTCTCTCATTTCACCTGAATCACCGCCGGACTGCTGACAAGAAGACAGCACTGCACTGTCTGTCTGTCTGGCGACTGGTTAGAGCCAGCTAACTGGCTATCTCTCTCCATTTCAGTCTCTGGAATATTCCTGTGGTTGGGGAAGGGATTTTGTTGCTGTGGATGTGACAAGTGTTTGGCTGCAAGACACCACCGACTTCCATCAGCTTCTAAAGTAAATTCTTGGGCTGGTTGACTTCGAATCTGCTGTCTGTTGTTGAGTGCATCCCAGGCAAAACTATCTAACATATTTGTCCGCTGTTTCTATCTTCCTGGCTGGTTAAATATCTTACCTTTTATTTTATTCTGCTTCCTGTGTGTATAATTTTTATATGTAGGTAGTGTCATTTCGCTGCACTTTTTGCTTCGCTTTGCTTTGCTTTCTTTCTTTCTTTCTTTCGTTTTTCTTGCTTTTTTATTTTTATTTTTATTATTATTATTTTTTTTTTATGGTAATAAGTTATTTTTTTTGCTTTGCTGCACCGGCATCCCTAGCTGACCCTTTTTTAAGTTGGTTCTGGAATTCTCAGTGGAAACCGGACTCATGGTTCTCACAAAACTCTTTTCTTCCTCCTCCAAGAAATCTCCCGACAAGAAAAAACACAAGTCCTCCGCCAGCACTTCATCAGATCTGTCTGACCTGCAGCCCCACGGTTCTCAGCATCCTCCGCCTCTGTTCCCTGCTGCTGCTCCTAACCGACGCCCGGAGTCTCCAGCTGGAATTTCCCCCAACACATACCACCACCATCATCACCAACACCACCCTGATCCCAACCACCAACGTCCGCTGCAATCCTCTTCGACCTCGACCACTCCAAGCAATAACAATAATAAGTCATCTTCCTCTCCGCGTGTGAGATCTTCTCTCAAATTCTCCTCCAAACCCTCATCCCGGTCGCAACGGATTCCCGAATCCAAAAACCGCCGCACACACTCGACCCTATCGGGCAGCCCCACAAAACACAAGTCCAGGAATTCGTCCTCCCGCTTTTCCTACGATCGGGACTCGCATCCATTGAATCTGCCTCCGGACGAGCTCCATCGCCTATCCGCTATGGCAGCTGCGAAAGACGATACCCGCAGCTCCATGGATATCGAGCAACCTGATGCTGGTGTTGTGCCTGCTCCATCCCTTTCCTCCGTCTCAACGCCAATGCAGCAAGATTCTCCCGCCTCTTCCCCTGCCACTCAGTCAAATGGTATCTATTCTGATACGGTGGAGAGGAGTCCGACTCCCCCTCCTCACAGTGTGCTGTCAAGTTCTCCCCAACCTACACTTCCTGCTGTTGATGCGGAGGCATGTAAATTGTCGGGGAATAAGTTTTTCAAGGCTGGGGATTATCAGAAGGCCATTCAGGAGTATACAAAGGGTAAGTGCTGTTATTTGTTTTGTTACCCTTAGACGTATAAGTTGGAAAGGTGCACGTACCATCAATTCAGTGAATAAGAAAAATTATACCCAGTGGTTAGAGATGGTGAGATAGATAAAAAAGAGAGAGGGGAGATTATGTGGTGAATTGTTTGTGTGTGGATATATTTCTCTGGTTTGTTAATAGAACATTTGTGAACACAGCTGTTGAGGCTCAACCATCCTCATCCACCTATCTATCAAACAGAGCGGCTGCCTACATATCAGCACATCGATATCTCGAAGCCCTGGAAGATGCCAAGTTGGCCGATGAACTAGAGCCTGGGAACCAGAAAATCATGCATAGATTAGCAAGAATATATACCAGTCTTGGTCGGCCTGTCGAGGCACTAGACATCTATTCAAAAATTCAACCACCCGTTTCCGCAAAGGATAAAGGCCCCTCAGAGGCCATGCTACACCATATTACACAGGCAGAAGAATCTCTACGGGAAGACAAAGGAGGTTCCATGACATTGTACTGCCTGGACCAAGCTGTAAAGGGGCTAGGAGCTGGCATTCAACAACCGCGCAAGTGGAGGCTAATGCGCGTGGAGGCATATCTGAAGATGGGAAGTGCCAATGCATTGGGCGACGCACAGAACATCGTCATGTCTATACTGCGTGATAACAACCAGGATCCCGACGCGCTATTCCTCCGGGGCCGACTATTCTACGTTCAGGGAGAAAACGAACAAGCAATCAAACATTTTAAACTTGCTCTCAGCTTAGATCCAGACTCTAGCCAGGCTGTCAAATACCTTCGCATGGTACAGAAACTCTTACGTATGAAAGACGAAGGAAATGCCGCTTACAAGTCTCGAAAATACCAACAAGCCATAGACATCTATTCGAAGGCCCTAGAAATCGACCCGAAAAACAAAAACATCAATTCCAAACTCCTTCAGAACCGTGCGCAATCCTACCTTAATCTCAACAACTACGAAAAATCCATCGAAGACTGCACAAAGGCACTTGAGCTCGATCCTTTATACGTCAAGGCGCAACGCGTGCGGGCAAAGGCGTACGGTGGCGCTGGCAACTGGGAAGAAGCGGTACAGGATCTAAAGAAGATTTCTGAAGCCAATCCCGGTGAGACGGGGATTCAGGAAGAGATACGGAATGCGGAGTTTGAGCTGAAGAAGAGCCAGCGGAAGGATTATTATAAGATCCTTGGTGTGGACAAGGATGCGACAGATCAAGAGATTAAGAAGGCCTATAGGAAGCTGGCTATTCAGCATCACCCGGATAAGAATCTGGATGGCGATAAAGGCGATACACAGTTCAAGGAGATTGGAGAAGCGTATGAGATTTTGAGTGATCCTCAGTATGTCTTACTGCCCCTTGTTAAATCCCCCTTTTTTCTCTCCTATTTCCCCAACTGTTTTTGCGAAAATCATTCATGTTTCATTTTCCCCGTACGCTAACAATTCCCCTTTTCTTGTCTCTTTATAGGAAACGCGCTAGCTACGACAACGGCGACGACCTAATAGACCCCTCTGACATTTTCTCCCGCGGTGGCGGTGCCTCTTTCGCGCATATGGGAGGCATGGGTGGCATGGGAGGTATGGGTGGTATGGGCGGCGCCGGCCAGAACATCCACATCGACCCTAACATCCTCTTTAATATGATGAATGGGGGCGGTTTTGGACGAGGCGGAGGACGCGGGGGAAACCCGTTTGAGAGCTATCATCCGCACGGCTGGTAACGAAATTTCTCCTGCTATATAAAAAAAGAAAAATGAAGGAATAAATGAAACGAATGAGGAATAATCAACAACATTCGAAAGAAAGACAAAAGCAGAAAAAACAGGAGAAGGAATGGTAAGGAGCCGCAAACGTGGGTACGATATATAGAAATCTGATACATGCATGACACAAATGGAAAAGGGTAGAAAAGGCCCTGGAGCCTGTGAGAGTACAGCAAGGTAAAACTTTATCGAACCATATATGCTTCTACTGTGTTTTTCCTTTCCCGTTTACATCTTCTTTATCCGTGGTTTTTCAATTATTTATTATTATTATATTATTATTTTATCATTTTTCGTACTTGTTCTTACATCTCAAATAATATCTTGTGGCGTGATTTTTTTTTTCTTTCAACCCATTTGCCCTCCTACCCTTTTTTAAACATTTTTTTATACGACACTGGTGGAAGTGCATCTCAACATACGTCAAAATAGACTGGTTTTTTCTCTTTTCTCTTTCTTTTTGTTTCATTCTCATTCTCTTTTTGCTGGCGGTGTTGATTGTCAATATGATATAGGCTCTTAGTGGAACTGATGTGGAAAGCAGCGGCAGTACAGGAGGAGAGCAGAGGAAACTGGAGAAGGGCCCTGTGAGTATGTACAAGGCTTCTCCCCTGGATACATAAAGAACAGATATGTTCCGCGGATGGAAAGGTTGGAAAACAGAAGATAGGTGAAAGTGTTGATTGAACAGCAAAGAGTTGCTTCGTTATTCATCCATGTATTGGTTTTCAATTGACTTAATATTTTGAATTTCCATGTCACCAGTGTGTTGCCCATTTCTATTCCTTCTCATGAGATGTATGCTCAGGTCGGGTTTTAATTTCTATTTTTTTTTTTTATTTTTTATCTTTATCCTTATCTTTATTTTTATTTTTATTTTTATTTTTATTTTTTTTGGTGTCCATAGTTATTTGATCATGTTTTTAGTTTCAATGAATGCAAACTAGGAGGTGTGGAACAGAAGTTTTGAAGTCCTCTCAAATGCCAACTAGAAATTTCAGTGGTGAAAAAGTATACACAGTAGCTTAGGGGCCGGTTTAAGCGCCTGTTAATCTTGTGATGCCTACCTATGGATTAGTTGACTCCTCACGAATGAGCGCTTATTCCAATGGTCCCTCCGACCCCTATAACATTTTAGACATAGGGCGGGGTTACATACTCGACTGCAGTGTTTCATTTTAAGATCAATTCTAGCGTGTTAAGCACTTTGGTTCCACGCCTCTGTACGAGTAGGTAATTGTTTTGTCGTTCTTATGTTACATTGATTATCCCTCTTTCTTTTTCATCTCATTCTGATATTGATGTTGTTTCTATCTTTGCAATAGCTATGTGAAATTCGACAGATGCGTATCTCACTGGGCTTGATTTGCTTCTCTCTTGTTCACAAGAAGTTTTCATAGTCATATTTCTTCAACTTTTCAATCAACAAAGTATTTGTCATAAATTCCCCTTTTGAAACTCTGCTTGATTTATCTCTCAATACAGAGAGGAATAGAATATATAATGACACCCTTTGGAGAAGAGACTGGTCAGTAGACTGGTATGGGAAAGGTTCCCTCGATGTTTGAAATACGGATTTTGATAGACAGCAAGAGATGTTAATACTGCAATTTTCACTCTTTTTTCTTAAGACAGGCCTTGCAAATCCCATTTTTTGAGGGGGTGGATTCTGAAAGACTGTGTCATGTTTGTCAGGGCAGCAATTTCAACTTGGTTGCATTTCTTGATTCAAGAGGATTCTGGATTTGGGAAGCTTTTTACCTGCCTCACTCCTGGGATCACAAGCGTCGTGCAGCTTTTGATCTTCGACTCCTCCACCATCACCGGTTGGTGGCATGCCTGCTGCTGAAGGGGAGAATCCTACTACCAATGAAAGAGACAGCCGAACTCAACTAGGTATCCCCATACAACTATAACTTGGGGGAGAGTTTGTTACGGTAACGTTCCCTCTAACGTTTACCCGCCAGAATTGGGGTAACCCGAGCTTCAGCTGGGATGGATTTTCCTGTTCTTGATGCCTGCTTGCTGAATATATAACTATATGTATTTGTTGTCCTAACGTGTCACAGCTGAGTTTCACGGGTGGATTATCCTATGGGATATAATTCTTTCGAGTCGGGGTCGGGAGAATGTCGAGCCTCTCGAGATGTCATTCTGGAATGGAGGACACTGCTTTTCGTTGATGATTATCGTTTTCTTTTCTCTTTGGCTTAACTACATAATCCATTACTTTTGGTGATCTGCTTCCTGTGAAACTTCGTCCCAGAGGGCCGTCTCTTCTTCTTCTTCTTCTTTCCACCGTTTTCCTTCCCGATTTTTGGCACCCGGCAATTTTTCTCTCGGGGTTGGTTTATATTTCTCTTAAAATCTCCAGCATATTTCTTCTTTCCTTCAAGATTGTTGACAGGTTAGCTTATCGTGAAGGAATTTTTGGCAATGCCTAAAAAATATCTTGGAGGATCAGGCGAGCGCATCACCATGTGGATATCCGTCGCTGCCTCCACAGTGCTCATGTTTTATGGCTATGACCAAGTCTGTTTTTCGAAATTTCTACCCAATATATTCCCTATAGAAAAACCCAGGGACCTTGCCAGAAAAAAAAAAAACAAAAAAAGAGATCATACATCTGATTCAAATTGGCTCTCCTTCCTTACTTCACATAGGGCGTTTTCGGCAACGTCATCATCGGACAAGATTTTCTGATCACAATGGGCCATCCATCTGCGAATATGCAAGGGACTATGACATCAGTCTACAACTTGGGCTGTTTTGCTGGTGCTATGTCTACTGTCTGGACTGGAGATATCTTCGGGCGTCCCCGCCAGATCCTGATTGGCAGCACCATAATCGCAATTGGCGCCAGTATCCAAGCTGCTTCGTACGGTGTCACACAGATGATGGTCGGGCGTGTTGTTGCTGGACTGGGAACGGGAATGAATACGTCTACAGCGGGCATTTGGCAGGCAGAGACAAGTAAGATGAAGAGCAGAGGGAAGCTGGTTATTATTCAGATGGTAATAGATATTAACCCCGAATTTCTAAAGGATATGTTGTTTGACCATTGGAAGAGAAAGACATGAAGATGAAAGCTTACACAGGTCCGATTGGTTTGTTGTTTTAGGCGAACTGCATCGCCGGGTTCTCTATCTCCAACTGGTTAACGCTAGGCTTCTCATTCGCTCCGGGAAGTGTAGCTTGGAGGTTCCCATTGGCATTTCAAATACTTTTCACATTATGCATCTACGCACTATGCCCATTCCTACCGGATTCTCCTCGACTACTTATTCGGAAGGGGAAAGACAAGGAAGCCCTTGAAGTAATAGCCGTGCTGGAAGGAAATAATTCCACTCCCAAGTCGCCTTCTGTGAAAACCCAGTTCAATGTCATCAAAGACATATTGGATCGGGAAAATATGAATTCATATACGTGGATTCAGCTTTTGTCGGGAAAAGGTAGGATACGAGAACTTCTTATTCAAATTCTATTCTGAAACTCTTTTACTCTCAGGGCCCGCGGGTGTCCTCCGTCGAATGGTTCTGGGTGCCTGGATGCAAGCCATGAATCAAATCTCTGGAATAAACGTCACGTCGTAAGATTTTCTCTCTCTTCTGCCTTTACCGCATCATGAGACAAAATATAATCTTACACCCCCTACACTCAATAGCTACTACATGTCCTACATCTTTATAAACGCATTGAACATTAGCGAGCTACTTTCCCGTATTCTCGCTGCGGCCGGCAGTATTGATTACCTTTTCTTCTCCTGCCTCGCCTACTTCGTGATAGAGCGATACGGGCGGCGAAAAGTAATGATGTCATCTGCACTCGCGTGCTCTACATGCTGGGTCGTGATAACAATCGCAATGTCAATTTCTGATAAGGGCATGGGAGACGAGTATAAATTGGGGATCGTGGCTGTCTCATCCTTCTTTGCGTTCTTCGCGAGTTTCGGGATGGGGGTGTTGGGTGTGCCGTGGCTATATCCAACAGAAATTAACGCGCTTGGAATGAGGACTAAGGGTGCATCTTTAGCCATGGCGACGAATTGGATTATGGTATGTATTTGTCTTCTATTTTTTATTTTGTTTTTACACCTCGCGTAAATTGAAGGCAGCATTCTAATTGTTGATGTAAGAATTAGAACTACATGGTCGTACAAGTGACTCCACCCGGTATTGTAAACCTGGGCTGGAAATTCTGGATCATCTGGGCAGTTATTTGTTTCTCGTTTATTCCCATCACGTACTTTTTCTACCTGGAGACGGCAAATCGGACACTGGAGGATATTGATCGGTTTTTCTCCGAGAAGCCGGGTATTATAGTTGTTCGAAATAAGAGTATGTTTTTCTATTATTATTCACATCTCCTGTTCACCAACCTTCAACTGGTTTTGTAAAACTCTTGCACTAATTGAACATCAGCCGCGACCCAACTCCATAGACCGGAGGAATATATATTCATGGACGAAGAAATGGCGAAGCGGGAGCAATGCGTTTTGCCTGTCGGGAGTGAAGGGCATATCTAGGAAGAGTTTCTCCCGTTATCTAGATAGAAACATCCAGAATAAAGCTAAGGGATAAACTAACAATAAAATATATACTCGATATTATTAATGGGACTGACCGGTCTCATAACATGTGGTAGTGTGATAGAAGGATGCTTCATGGTTCTCGCAATGCAACGACGCTAGCCTCTCTCAATTCTTTTTTTTTAAGATGGGCTACAATATTTCCCATTCTCAAAAGGAAGAACCAATTCCATTCAATATTCATTTTGAATTGTTTCGCCATCAATCCAATTATAAGGTGGCAGGAAGCTAAACAAAAAGAAAGGGGGCGAGGGCTAGCAAAGAAGATAGCTAGGTATTATCCAAGATCAAAAGATTGAATATCCGGACATAAATAAAATCCAAGGAAACATGAAAGATAACACAGGTAGAGCATTCACAGAAGCGCGTACACTTCTCACCGAACTAATCTCCAGCTTTCCTTTAGCCCATCGCACCTAGGAGCACCACCCCAGTTTGTTTCTGCTACCACCTTGCTCAACAGTAAAAGCCACCCATCAGTCCACTCAACTCACCCATCAATCCGATTTCCTCGTGCAAAGAAGTCCACAATGCCCCCGTCACTCGTAACTGTTACGTTCATCTTGCCAGAAGCGCCCCACCACAGAGCATCCCACTCGGCCTCGGGATCTGGATATCTCACGCCGTCTGCAACAGTCTTATTGCCACCACGAACCAGAACGCCTTCACCACCAATGCTGACGCGGCCCTTGCCGGAAGTAGCAGCGTGGACACGGCCAGCCCAAGACGGAGGATAGACAACGGCCACAGATCCGGAACCTCGCGCGATGTGGTGGGCAGTGATAGATTGTGGTGCCCACCGGCCCTTCTCAGGAGGTCCAGATGTGCTAGCCGATTTCTCATCTTCTCCTTCTGGTGGGGGTGGGAAGAACGGCTCCAAAAGCGAAAGGTGAGTGCTTCCGGTCTCGGTAGAAGTGAAGATGGAGACATTGGCGCGGTGTTGGGGCCCTCGATCATCACCGCCATCATTGGGAGGATGATACGGGTCATGGGGATCGCGTGGGGGTTTTTCCTCTTCCTCTTCAATGAAAACGATGGGAATGAGGTTGGCGCTGATGGAGCCGGAAATAGTAGAAATCTTAAGCAGATTCGAGAAGGCGACTTGGCCTGAGATACTACCGGATGCAGTGTGGATTTCTACCTCATACGGACGTGGTGTGAGGAAGGCGTGTACATTGTTAGTTTTATCATTTTTGTTTCTGGACTTCCTTGAGTTATATAGCTCCCGGAGTTTGGTGAAACTGGAAGCATCGCTGAGGGCAGGGCGCAGGACCGGAAGTCGGAAAGACACAGATATGCTTCCCGACTCCGTTCTGATGGATACCCTTGCTGGCTTGTCTGGTTGTTCGGGATGAGCGGGCTGAGGGTCGATGACGACAGCAATACTACCCGTGACTGTAGTTAAATTGAGACTGTCGTAGAGCGGGAATTTGCCAACAATTGAGTTGGTAGTTGTGTTGACGGAAATATCCCGTTTGTCGGATGGACCATGATCATGCCAGTCATTGTTGGAGACTTGGTCTTTCTGTTTGGAGTGTGTGCATTGCTGCGGTTGTTCGTCAGTATCCAGCTATTATACATGTAGAGCGTAGGAGGGTGATGGAGAGGCAAGAGGCCACGCTATTCAACATAAGAGAATGAATAAATTTGACAAGATAAAATAAAACAAAGATTTTAAAATATTTCCCATACCTTCTTAAATCCGTGAAAAGAACCCCTGACGAAGTAACCAAGCAGCGCAACGAACACAACAACCTTGAGTGCTACTAAAGACGCTCTGGCACAAACAGATCGAGAGCTATTATCTCCAAAACAGGACCGTGATCCTTTTATGAAGCCACGCCGCCTTTTATTGATAGGAGAAGTTTCTGCATCTTCCGAAGTGCCAAGACATTTGTATTCGGCGGTTAAGGTAGCTTTCTCCGTGTCGCTCATAGCTTCCTTCGCTGAAGGGTCATCTCGATACCTCGGTTGGTCGGAGTATGTGTCCATGCTCATATTCCCCTCTGTTCCTGCAATAGAGCGTTGTGAGGTGGAGGAAAATTGATAGAACCACTGTCTCTGTTAAATGTGGCGAGAGGGGGGGAACAGGAAGAGACAGGGTCAAAAGAAAAACTCCACGCCGGGGGGCTAATAGAATATATAAAGGGCTTGAACAACTAACCGAGACAAGATAAACCAATCAGTCAATGGAGGGCTGAGTACGCCGCACAGGGAGGGCACGGCTTTTCAAATGGACAAGAACAAGAAACCGGGAATGACAATCATACACCACTGCTGTAACAGGTCTTCAGCAGGAATCGCACAGCGCCAACTTTTCAGCCAATTGCATCCAAGGGAAAAGTTCACAACAAAATGCAAGAAGTTTAGGGAGAAAAAGAAAGTCGGTGCTCGGTGGATCCCCAAACTTCAGTCCAGTCAAATCTTGCAAATCACGTCGTAACATCAGGTTGGTGAACATGAACCCTAGGGACATGAGGCTAATCAGGTCGAGGTCTCAAAAATTCGTTCCGCAGTCCAAATCACAATATCACGACATTAACAGCGTCTAGCACGGCCCGCATGCAGCCGTTGCCTCCTCTTTGGATGGTTTGGACTTTGACGCTCGGGAAAAGGAATCGACACATCCCAGCTTTCAAGGTTCGCAAGCTTGCTGAGCTAAATGCAAAGGTGCTAACCACCTATCGTTAAAACTAATCGGGTGAATTCGCGGATTATCTATCTACGCTGGAAACAGGCTGCCATATTATTCCTTCTTTTACTCCCCGGCTCACGTCAACTGTGCCAGCAACGGCCAGGCTCCAGCGAAAATACCTTGCTGTTGTAACCAAGGGCGGGTCTTGAGTTTTGTTTTTTGGAAGCTGGGATCACCGTCTTGAAAGATAACGCAGACGATTCATGACGATGAGCTATGTATCAATCCATTTGGATTGATTGGAGGAGAATGCCAATCGTTTGGTCACAGGCGGGTGTCAAGCTTGCCTGGTTTTATGTCCATTTTTGAGTTGTCGTGGCTTGAAAGTTGTAGATAATCTGGACCTGGATCCAACATCTCCGATTACCGAAATTGAGTGCCGACTTGGCCAGCGTACCTTCGAATGTGCGTGAAAAGGTACGCGATAGTTATCCATGTCGTCAAATTTTCCCGTTGCTAGTTCTACAACTAGAATAGATAAATTTGATTCTTGCCCCTGTGAAGAAAATTTGACGTAGGAGAACATTGCAATGAATCAAAGCTTTATTTCCAAGGTGTCAATCAACAAGAAGATTTCCAAATAACTATTTACGTATACACCAGCAAGTCTAGACAAAATTTCCAATCCATGCACGGGCGCATGCATAACTTAGGCAATGGGGGTGAAGGTGCTGCAAAAATTTATGAAACAGGAAAAGGACCGGATATGCTCAAAGACGAAAGATTAAATAACACAAAGGGGGAACAATAAATAACTGAGCGGAAAGGATGAGGGAGTAATGTAGATATGCAAAACATAAGGGTATGAGGGATATTTAAGCAGCAAGCGTTCAATGATACCCATCAGAAAAGCAGAGGGACAACTAAGTGAATGATATTGCCGTTAAACTCCATCGCTAAATGACCTAAAAGATACATATTAGATTATCCCTGACGTAAGAGAAAAGGGGTATGAAGCGGAGTGAAAATGGAAATAACAAGATGGAAAAAAGAACTGAACACACTAAGCAAGACAAGTGTAAGGGGGCGAATGCTGTGAGCAGGAAGCTACTGATTATCGATGACGACTGATGAATCTTGAATATGATGATCGTTAGCATGCTTGTTCCAATTGCCAAATTTAAATCATACAGCTTTTCAATGTGAACAATAGTAAGAAATGATACGTTTCCTTACATCTCACCACCAAATGGCATCCAATTGTCAATGCATTCACTTTGCGATATATCCAAGACTCTCAAGAATCGCATTTGTTTCATTGGCAGGCAAACCACACACCCCCAATGCCCTAACTTGGCTCCCCTTTCTCAACCGCTGTAGCCCGAGGGCCACTTTCCAAGCTTCAGTCTCACTCAGGATGAAGACATACTTCTTTCCCTCCTGGTCTCTGATGCTTGCACGCACGACGTGAAACCCGCGCAATTCCGCGTTCTGCAAAATATCTCCATCAATCATACTGCCATTGCGGCTTCTCATTCCAGAAGACGAAGCCCTAAACCGGCACTTGTTCTTGCAACACCTGTGCAGGCCTGCGAGATGTGCATCTGATTCCTCACTGCTGGGAACCTTGTGCGCATACGAAGAACTGAACCGGAAGGGATTTATCTTCATTGGGCTTTGACGTGTAGGAGGATTATTCGCACCAAGCTGGGGGCACCATACCTCTACAAGCTTCATTGTCCATGCCTTGACGTCCCATTCGCGCTGGGCAACGCCTCTAATGTCATCGTCTACAAACATTCCTTCTGTGGTGATGCGTAGGATTAAGCCATCTGTCACATTCCCTTTGCCCGAAACCAGTTGTCCAACGGGCGTCCTCATAAAAGCATTGTTGAATAGATACACGCCAGCAATAATAACCTTGTCGGGATCCTTTGTGGAGTATGGTCCTCGTCGAGATGGTGGCGGAGTTGTTCGTGCTGTCGATTGCGAAGGCGCATAGGATGACTCTGAGAATACTGACGAGGCAGAAGGCTGATTCCTGGGTCGATCGTAAGGGCGAAAGGAGTATGCATCATCTTCACATTCTGTTTTGGCACTTGGGAAGGGTGGGGATTTTTTCTGGGGAGATGGTGTTTTTGGAGGAGATTTCACAGATTCTTCTTGTTTGCGAGATTCCGCTGCCTGTTTCACCGACTCCGCTCGTTTCTCCGCCGCTAGCTTCTCTGCTGCGAGCTTTTCGGCGAGTTTTTCAGCCGCCAGCTTGTCTACAGCTGCCTTCTCAGCGGCTCTCTTTGCAGCTGCAGCTTCTCGAGCGGCCGCAAATCTAGCAGCCGCTTCCGCTCTGACTTGTTCTTTGACGGCTTTCTCCGCTGCCTCCTTCTCTGCTGCCTCCTTGGCAAGTCGTTCTTTTTCTCTCTTCTCCTTCCTCTCACGAAATTCCCTTTCCCGTGTTTCCTTCTCCCGTTGCCTTTGTTTCTCTTTTTCTTCTTCCTCCCTTTTCTTCCGGAATTCCTCCATTTTCCGTCTTATATCCTCCTTTCTTCTTGTTTCCTCTCTAGCCTTTTCCCAGTTCTGGTTTTTCATTTCTGGGGTAGCCCCTCCAGATGGTTTCGGCGGGGTGTCTGGGGAATTAGGTGGTCGAGACGGGCCATCCCCTCTCGGGCCCGGGGGTGTTCCAGTTTCATGTGCATAGTGATTGCCACCAGGGTATGGACCACCAGAGTATTGCCCACTAGGATGTGGTCCATTTGCATAACCGTCTGTGTACTGGCCATTGAAACTTTGATAGTGAGAGCCTCCACCAGAAGTATGATTGGGACCTGATGAAGGAGGGGTTTCGTGGTGCGGGCCGCGGGGAGCTGTGCCTCCCGCCGGAGGGGTCCTCGGGGTACCCCGTGGTGGCGGCTGGGGTAGATCTGTTTGTGACCTACCCCATGCCCAGCTGCCAACCCCAACAACTACGACAAGCATTAGAACGCCCGCACCGCCGCTTTGTGCAACTGTTGAAACCCAAGCCTTTAGCATTGGCAATACATATATGTACAATGCCACCCCGAATAAAGTGGCTGTAACTCCTGCCAAAAAACTATTTGTATGACACTGCAGAGAAGGTAGGTATATGAATCCGGAGCCGGACGAATGAGGAGGAACAATAAAGATATCATACGGACCTTCCGGAAGGTCTGTCGATTTGCGATATCCGCCGTTTGCATTGGGCGGTGGACCACCCCCTGGTGGACTACCATGAGGCGGTGGAGGAGGAGGCGGGGGTCGATCCATTGCAATAGAAAGTCGTATATCTCTAATGATAAGGTCTTGGATGTTGTGATATGTTATAATATAGCTCGAGCGTAGGAATAGGTAAAAGTCTTGTGCGCTGTGGCTCTCCTCCCCAATCCTTCTTATGGTGTTTGAAGAGTCTGCACCAATTGAGTTCCAGGGGCAATGGGCAACACCTTCATGATCAGAGTGGCATTGGGGTGGCACTTGGGCCCCAAGCCTTTATTAGCACTTTGAATAGTTTGGGGGTTTGTGCTGACAGTGCGTAGAACGATCACAACTGTTCTACAGGATCGTGGTATGAGATAGAGAGGCGGTGTATGTGCAAGGTAGCGGCTGACCTGGGTAGAGAGGCCCTTTTTCCGGTCGGCTGAAGAAGCGTGGGAGGATAATATTCTATAAGTATTTGCAATGCAGAAGTAGGCTGCAGTGGGCATAAATTCGTTAAACCCAAAAATCATCCCAAGGCACCAAGAACCAGACAAACACCAGACACCAGAAGAAAATAACAGAAGAGAGGGGAAAGTTGAGAATAGAGGAAGAAATGAATTCACCAGCCTGGAATATTATTGTGAGATTCTCGAGCCAGCCAGTCTCGAAGCGAAGGTACGCAGTGTTGGCCGGGAACCAGGCTCTAGGCGAGGTATGACAGCGGCACACAGCAATCGGGCGACCGAGTAACTTGTGGAAAAATAAGGTGTTGACAAAGAGATAGATGGGTGGAGTGATTAACTAACAGAATTTATTATGACTGTCAAATTTTCCATTAAATTTTGAGATGCAGCAGATTTGGATCAATGTTGTTCAACAGCGTGAATAACAATGAGGCCGTTTCAGTCTGCAGAATTGCAAATTGTCACTCATCTGTAGTTCACTTGAATGCAGTCAGTCGCCTGGGAAATTCTAGAGTCTTGCCCAACTGAACCGACGCTGACAGCCTCCCAAGGAAAAAAAGCAAATATGGAAAATGGATTGATTCACTGGCTGCGTGGGCATTGCATGTGTCTTTCTCAGACGGAAATTATTACAATTCGATTGTTTCCTTGAGGTAATGCTGAGCCAAGTATTCCGTTCTTCATTT